GTACATGTTTTCTTCCCATCACCACCGGTGGAACCAAGTTGTTGGCTGTGGGTAATCCTGGCCTGCACGTGCGTTATTTCAGAGTGCCTTAAAGGACAAATGTAATTTCTGCTGTGCTAAATGTCACTTTTCGTGAATTGAAAGAAACATTATTGGGCGGGGGGTGGGACGGGCGAAGTACAAAAGGAAAATTAAATGAAAAAACATGTCATGCACGCCAATTAACCCTAAAAAATATTCATGCTACGGCCTAAAACTAAAATTCAAGAAGGAATTTGATAACGAAAAAAAAATTTTCAAAAAAGAACTTTTCTAGTGGTCCGTTCGTAATAGATAAGATTTCTATTCGTGATCCCCAGTGTCCAGCGTTCTTGTAACATTCTGCAAGCGCATCTGCTTCTGAGCTTGAAGTCAATGGCTTCGTCATTCGCCATATCCCTACACGTTGTCTTGAAGGAGGTACAAGTCAGTCGTTTGAAGTAAATGTAAGAAAATAGAATAAAATAAAACGACAACAACAAATGCCATCAGAACTGGACTACGATCTTTAAATTTTAAAAAAATATATTTTCTCTGGGGGAAATCGGGTTTAATTTCAAACTAAGAAAAAAACTGAAAGGTTTATTTTATCGGACAGATTAGGTGGATTGGTACCGAGGAGACTCTGGGTTATCTAAGAGAGTTGACAACTATGATAAACTTTATACAGTATTCGTGGATTGAATTTAAGCGACTTATAAGAATATAATACAGTGAATAAACCAAGAGTACCTGAGCTTACAGGAATGAGGATACCGGTTTGCTGATAGATATATTTTGAAATGTTCTTCCTCTAACTCTTTTGTCGGCTTTTTGGTCCCTCTTTTTTCAATTATGTGATTGGCGCTTTCCTTTGGAACTTGGCACGAATTGGAATAACTGTTCCGTCACCATCCAATACCGAGCTCAGAAAGATGGAAAGGGCATATATTAAAGGAACTTAGGGCGCTTTCCATTTGTCAGAACTGGCCGGCTGGATCTTTGCCTGACCAGTCATTTTGAAAATGAAATAGGATTTTTCCAAGAGTTTTGCCGAAAAATGTTCTCTTTCGAGCATACTCAGTTTCGGATTTGACTGATCTAGCTGAAGAGTTTGATTAAAAGGGAAATTATCATTGCGACAGGAATGGTCTGGCTGGTCAGTTCTGAGCTAAAATAAAGTCTGTTTCGCTTTCAATGGCTAGAAAGAGACCATGTCGATCTATGCCCAGTTACGTCCTAAATAGTTTGATAGCGACAATTTAACAATCTCAGTTGATCTCTGCTTATCCCTTCTATCAAACGAAAACAGAGTACCTACTGATGACTCGAAGGAGCACGAACCCTCCATAACTTCATCGAAGAAGAGCGCACACAATCAGTGTTTATGCTGAGATCTTTTTCTTTTTCAAGTGGGAATGAACGGTTGAATCAAATTAAACTAAATTTAATTCGATAATGTTAATCAAATGCCTAAAATGTCAAAATATTAAAGATAATTCTCAGGTAAAATAATGTCAACTGGAGTATTTTTGAAGAAGGAGGAATATAAAAGATGAAGCTTCTTCAGTGTACTGGGAAAAACGGGTGAAAGTCGGTGAAGCTCGTCACGTGTATATTACCGGAAGTAGACCCTTGGCACACTCCTATAAGCAAATGAGATTAGTTGAAGTGAACGGATCCACGAGCAAGCAACTTTGCTTTGTTGACAGTTAAACTACCGAGCTTTATTTTATAGACGGCTTTTTTAAGGTCCAGGGTTCTCAAAATTTTTAACAAACATGAGATGTTAACTTGAAAACATTCAGGGAGAAAACAGAGGGATGAAGAAATTACCAGAAAGCTGTCACGCACCTCCAAGGCACACATTCCAGCGGACTTCATGACTACGGTAACATAGGTGATAAGACGGCAAAATGAAACAACTTGGAGCTTAAAGTACAACAGATACAGGTTAAGGTGAGCTTTTTAAAAAAATTGTTCTACATATCAAGGCTACCAGCGTTCTAAACGGAAACCTAAAGTCAAATTGTTGGTGATCGTCGTGTGACTCACGTGTTGGATGCCGTTATTTTATGTTGTCTGTAACACGAATTTGAAATAATTTCTGAGAAGCTCAAAATGATTTCCCCAAAATAATTTTAACATAACACAATAGTTTGATGCTTGTAGAGTTTTCCCTTTCAATCTTGAAAAATTCTGATCAAAGGCACATGACGAAAATCGTCGCTTTTTTCAACTACCTTCCGTGGTTGAACATCAGGTAGACATACGCTTTAGCTTTTTTATAATTACTCAGAGTGTTGTAATGCTAAAAATATTATATATTTTGGTCAACGACGAGTTGTACTTACAAGTTTAGCAACAAGCTTTTTTTCTAGCGCGGTGGTTTTGAAATGCAAGTCGAGCGAATCATAGTGAATTTCAACCCTGTTTTCGGCTTGCGAAATCGACGGCGGGGCTTGAAACGGTTTTCTTGTTTTTCTCGGAAACGAACAGATCTTTCGAAGAAAAAACTACCTGGCGTTTGTACACTTACTAAAGTCTATCAGTATGCAAAAGAAGAGCGATTTTTATTTTTTGAGCCTTGCCGCACTTCGGTCGATATTTGCATGGAGTTGCTCATAAAATCTCACGAAGTCTTACGAAATCTTTCCCAGCCAAAGCCAGGCCGGCCAAGACCAAGGCTTCCGTATAGTCTGCCCGGCCAAATATTATTTTTAGAGCTTTCCGCTGAAACTTAAAAAATCTTACTCAGATTCTTAAAAGAATCTTACGACATTATACCCAGAATTGTACAAAATCTTTCGAAATCTTAACCAGAACCTTATACAGTCTTACAAAATCTTACTGTTATGATATCTTACCTATATGGTGTAAAAATCCAAAGAAATCTAACCGAGAATCCTGTAAATTCTTCTGAGTTCTCACCCAGAATCGTGTAAAGTCTTGTGGAATCTTTCTCGAAACACATTAAGTCTTTGGAAGAAACAGAAGTAAAATCTTACGAAATCTTACGTGGAATCTTACGCAGACTTTAACAAAAACCTATGATACTGTCCAGGAAATAACAAGCTGCGAAATGCAGAATCTTCCAATATTGCGTTAATACTACTTGTTGTTTTGTCGGAATACTACGCAGTCTCGTGTTCACTCTTGCAGGATATGGTTGTGCCAGCCATGTAGTGGACATGTCTTTAATAAAAATGGCGAAAACCACTTTTACTCTCAATTCCGTCAGCTTATTTGTTAACCAGACGCTCTCTGTTTTGTAAAATTTAAAGAGGTGCTCTCTCTGTTATTTTCAGTACCGTCGAATTGGCATGTTAGCAGCAGGAACTGGAATTGCCCCAATGCTTCAAGTGATTCAAGGAATTGTGGACAATGAGGAGGATGAAACGTTTATCCACTTGGTCTACTCGAGTCGAACATACGAAGATATTCTAATGAAGGAAGACCTTGATAACATGACGGCTTACTGGAACTTTTCAGTGCTGTACGTAATAAGCAAGGTGTGTTGTATGCTTTATTTCTGATGTATTGATAAGGAGTAACTCATGGCAATCGTGTTGGTAACGAACTGATACCATCTTTTGAAAGAATATTTTAAAGTATTATGTTTTGCGGCGTAGGCTTAACAGATTCTCCGAAAATCTGTCTGATGTGTTTAGTGCATCAAGCTATTTTAGGGTTAGGAGAAATTGACTGGCTATAATGTATATATCTTTGTTTAATGCGATGGATGTAGTTTTGACACTGTGCAGTTCTAAAATAACCACATAACAGTAAAGAAAGCCCACGACACGAATGAGAATTGTGAATGATGGAGGTATATAATTCCGCTTGCTTCTATGACAGCGCATTTGTGGTGACGGAAAGGTGCTAAGGACATTTTTGGGTTTTGAAGTTTATCGATTTTAGGATTTTTAACGGGTATATAGTGTTAGGAAAGGCTAGATTTGCTGTAAAACACTGTCTTGAAGTTTTGTAACGAACATGTAGTTCTAGTACATTCGTTGTTTGAAAAAGCTTTTGTTTGTTTGTTCATGTTTTTTTTCTTTGGAAGGAGGGGTGGAGGCTAGTAGTTAATTTGGGATCAGGACTTTTCTGGTTTTCGCTCCCTGGCTATTATGCACGACCCGTTCGCTCCTCCCCGTCATCACCAATCCGGAAAACTGCTCCCACGGAGGGTCTTTAGATGTCAAACGTATGTCGTAACTATCTTGTTGCATTTACCCTGTAAGTTAGACGTTATGAGTTAAAATCATTTCTTAGACCAGAAACAGAAACAAAGGGCATGCGATTGGTTTGTGTACATTTGATGTTAGGAACGCACTTTGATCTCATCTGCACTTCTTTTCAGGGAAGTGATTCTGACCAATCAAAAGTAAAGTATGGTGATCACGTGTCATACGGCAGAATCAACCAAGAACTCGTATCACGGGAGATGCCTGGACCGTCAAGTGATGTTCAGGTGCTGATCTGTGGAACCAAATCATTTGACAAGGACATGATAAAGTACCTCAAAGTCTTTGGTTACACCTCCGATATGTATTTTAAATTTTAGTTTGTTTTTATTGGTTAATTTTTAATAGAAAACAAACACAAGACTTTCGACAAACGTCCATTTTATAAGCCTTCGAAGGTGATGTTTCAATAAGTTTTGTAAATATTTTAACACTAATCATATGTATATAGAAGGTATCAGGCTGGCAAAAAGTTGGCAGATACCAATACCTTACTGTTATTTAAATTAAATTGACAGACAAACCTGTAAAACACTACACTTTTGAGATGCAGCATGTGACTTTCTTCAGTGACATTTTCTCATAGAGCCTTACTTACGTGTAGACATTTGTATCAATTTGTAGTTCTCTAAAACAATTGAACTCCATATTTCAAGGAAAAAGAAAACATTAAACGATCATTTTAAAAAGTGGGAAAAATTAATCATCGTCGTTTCCGATATCTGATATTGTAACGTTCATTATTGAGGATATTCAGCTTGAGGACATTTAGCAATTATTGAATGAGGCTCAGTAGAATATGAAGAATTCTACAGACCTCGATAACACCCTCCGAGATCTGCAGAATTCTTCATATCCTACGAAAGTCGAATTCAATAACAAGTTTAAAAGCAAGCTAAAACATGCTAACCTTGGTCGATGTAAGTTCATATCGATAATGCATCTTTATCGGGAAGTTTAGGAGATAAAGGTCTGTTCAGGTCTGCAAATACACTCCAAATAGCAGATGTCGTTTGCCGTCATGCTGTTCTTGTCATGTGTATAGACAACATTTCGCCGTGAAACGAGTAAAATGTTCCGCCGACTGTTCAGCCATGCATTTCGTTCTCACTACCAAGACAACTGAACCTCGTCCTCAGGTTTCCTCGGTTAACGGTTTAATAACCTGCAACCAGACTGCACTTTTGACGTCATTTTGTCGTCATCGGTTCAATATGACAAAATTCTTGCCAAATTTGGTGAACATTTGGCCACTTCAGTGAAATCGAGCACCACATCTCCACACTTTACTTGCTGAAGAGGGCCAATGAACCTTTGCTTTGTTATGATCCCCTCAGTGAATTGTTAGCTTATTTACTCTACACCATTGAATGATTTCTTTGGGAAGGACATTTAGGAGTTGAATAACTTGATCCACCGAATTGCCAGTGGCAAATGCAGTTGTATCGTCCGCATAAAGGTGCTGTTGTTCATTAGATAAGCTTTCTGCAAAGTCATTAAGGTATATTGAAAAAAGGCGGGGACCAAGCAGTGAGCCTTGTTGGACTCCATGTGACACAAAATATAACTGAGATTTGCCTCCATTCGGTTTAACAAATTGCTTTCGGTTTTTCAGGTAACTGACTAGCCATTGTAACACATTTCCATAAAAGCCACAGGCTTGCATTTTGTAGAACAAAACTTCATGATACACCGATTCAAATGCTTTGCGAAAATCTGTGAAGATAACTCCAACTACATTTCCATGATCTATATTTATCTTCCAGGTCTCAGTCAGATATAGTAAAAGAGACTCGGTAGAGACCCCCTTTCGGTATCCCCACTGATTTTTCTGAAGCACATTACTTAAGTCGTTGTCAGTGTTGTCACATATCACAGATTCTGCATAGACGAAAGTGTGATAGGTCTATAATTGGAGCAGTCCTCTTTGTTGCCACTTTTCTTTTACCTTAATCTGTCTCTTTATCTTCGACTTTCCATATGCTTCCACTATTTTTATTTTGCAGTTTAGTTGATCAACGACCAGTAATTGGCTTCTGCAATATTCATTTCCTTCCTTACTTGGTTCCTGAGCCTTCTAAGGTTGTCCCAATCATCTGCATTGTGTGAGGCTTGAGCCTTAACTAACAATTTGTATCGTTTGTTCATTATCTTCCTTATTTTACTATTCATCCATGGGAGTGGTTTGCCACGTACCTTTGCTTTTCTAGTTTTCTAGTTTTTTCTAGTTTTTTTTTAAAAATCTTTGTATAAGGATTCCGCTAACCAGCAGTTGTCTTCGACATCATCAAATACACTGCAAACACGCCATGGAACTAATGCTAGTGAATCTTTGAAAATCTTTGCATCACAGTTTGTCCAGGCAATTACAGTTTTCAATTTTGCTGGTCACATTAAAATCCAACTCTTGCCACGCGTTCTTAAGCTACTTGTGAAGGGACGCAACAACTCACAACATTGTTGCGCCAACAGTTTTGCGTGTTGTTGCGTCCTTGTTGCAGTGGTGTTCAATCGGATGCAACAACTCCCAACAACACGCAACAAAATGCAGCAGGGTGTGCAAACGGACGCAACATGTAGCCTCCAACAATGTTGCGTCCGTTTGCTCGAGGCTTAATACCTTTTGAGCCCTTTGTTCTCAGTTGTACCCTATATAGCCACATTTCACGTATAGCTGATACTTAAGTAAGGGTTCCTTCCAAAAGTCAGAACTTGGCGGTTGGACCAATCATTTTGTAAGTATCCCCTCGAAATTTCTGCTAAAACCCACTAAAATGACTGCCCCACTTACCATTTAGGAAGAAACTGATCTGGCCTGATAATCCTTTTTTTAGTGGAAACATCCAGACGACTATACTTGTCTGGCCAACTAGTTCCAACCAATAGTAAACGCCCTAAGTCTCGTCGCTACCTTTGCACTTTGCACTTCATTACATAATCCACGTGAGCCTTGCAAGCCATAAAGTTATCAAGCACTACTCCTGGGTATTTGAAAGTAGTTTCACAAGATAGGGCCTTTCTGAGAAGATTCAAACTTAATTACAAAATTCAAAATTACAAGCGTGTTCTTTCTGCCTTTGAATTAAAAAATAATAGCTCTTAGTTTTTGATATAGTCAGAAAAAGATTTTTGTCTTCCAACAAGAGCCATTATGGGACTGCTTCCAGCAAGTTAGTTCAATACTGAAGATCTTGATTAATGGAGAAATTTAAAGTGCCTGTTTACAGTTTGACCACTATCTAAGATATAAAACCGTGTCGCCAGCGTACATTTCTACTAAACAGTGTTTTGCACAAAGGGGTTAGACAATGAATACCAGGGGCAGTCCGAAGATGGACGCCGGTGGCACTGCACGAAAAAAAAAATGGTAAGCTCCGGATCCGTTGGTCAAACCCGGATATTTTTGTAACCGCAAATCACCACGAAAGTGGTGAAACCACTCAACGAATAGCCCGCGTAGCAGGCGCCGGTTTTTTGCGAGGATGCGCGCACGAGGGGAGGCTCTCCCCTTCGTGTGTTCCCCTCGCGCGGCCTTTAAGAAAATTAACCGGCGCCTGCTACGCAGGCTAGTCGCACTTTATTACCTGCCACACTTTGTAATAAAATTGTCGCACTTTTTAATACCTATCGCACTTTGTAATAACAGTTGTTGCACTTTGTAATAAACTTCAAATGGATGGTCGGAGGAAAAGTAAACCCAATAATAGGGACCTTAAGCAGCTACGACGGCAACGGCAGGGAAAACATAACCAAAAATATGAATTTGCGTCTTTTCAAACTTTATCGCGTTTATTTGGAACCGCTCTATTCGTCAAAGTAGGCCTCTTTTCCTGGAGTTGAATTCTTAAGGGCTATACCCATGTTCAAGTCCTCCATAAAACGTTGACTGGGAAGGTTTCATGTCGTAGTCGTGCAGTGGACGTCAAAGAAATGTACTTAAAAGCGTGATGCACGTGCAGAGCTGTTGATTTGCTCATAAAACCAACTGTTTTTCGACGTTGTTATCGTCGTCGTCGTAGTTGCTTAAGGTCCCTAATAAGTACCACCATCGAAGACAACAACAATAACAACAATTATAATTATAGTAATAATAATAATAATAATGATAACATTACACTGAACGATTTTTAGCACCAATTTCTTAAGTGGGGGCGTAGAAAAGTGCTCACATCAACCGCGACCTTCCGGCTTCAAGATCTTTGAAGGAAAGTACAACTCTTTCTAGGCGGACGATCTCAAGACCATGCGATAGTGTCCATAACAGCGAGAGTCCGTAATAATGGGAGTTTTTGTTGGAATATTTAGCTACTATCTGCATTATCGGGTTGTCAGTAAAAGTAAGGTGTCCATCAGGCGATGCGAAAGGTGATTTGTACACTGTATAAGCAAAACATTTGAACGTTTTACTAGTAGCACGGGCAACGTAGAAATCTGCTTTTATTACTTGCGGGGATATGTCAAGAGATATAACGAGATTTTAGTGTTTATATTGACATTTCATAATATTTTGTTTGTATTGATATTTCATAAAACCAAAAAACAGAAACTCAGAGCACAACACGGTGCACTAAAACTTTCTTTAGAAAATTGCATATCGTTTGCCCTCGTCACTTTGTGACACAATTGCTACTAATTTTGTGGACATTTTGAATGCGCTGGAGCCGACATGAAACAAAATCATTCATAATAATCAGAAAATGCGCCATTGCAAAGTGTAGCCCAGCTAACATAAGAAAAAGTTTTAAGAAAAAGAATGCAAACACGGAAAGCAAATCTTAAGTACAATGATACTAACAAATCATCTCAGTATCGAACGTAAGTTGTAACCAGGCCTTTTTCGCCTTTTGTTGCCACAAGTTCTTTCACTCAATAATAGCTAAATATTACGGTGTCCCTGTCTAGAGCTTTGAAGTATGCTACTTGTTTCGCCAAAAATATGTCCATGATGATAAACCATCCAAGAGCTATATAACGCAGTACCAGTCAACCCTTCGACCATTTTTGATTTGAGATTATTCGCCGCTCAATTGCAAGCACAACACCGCTTGAAGGCTCAAACAATCTTGTGAGTTTTTTAACGCCGACATTTCCCGCTACACCGCCAATGGAGAAGTAAGTAAGTAAGTAAGTAAGTAAGTAAAGACTTTATTTTATGAGGGTTAGCACGAAATAGCCGGGGCTAATAAACTTGTGGCCCTCTAAATAATAAATAATAAAATAATAAATGAGTATACTAAGCTATTAAAAAATACAAGATTAAAACCAATTAAGAATACAGATACTATAGAATCTACTAAATTATTTAAAAGATAAAATATAG